AAGCAGCTTAGAACCCAGGAGTTTGGCACACGCGTAATAACATTTGTGCCCAGCAACTATCCGTGCCTTAATCTCTTCGTCAGATCTATTTTGGGAGGTAATCGTTGCTCCTAGATACTTGAAGCTGCTCACGCCTTTTATGGTTTGATTGCCAACATTAACGTTTTGTGGCTGTCCAGGTTGTCTAGCTCTTGCAAGGTACTCAGTCTTGGATGCATTTACACGCAGTCCATAAGTCGCGGCTTCGGTCTCCAGCATTAAACAGTGGTCGATCATCCTGTTTCTTGACCTGCTGGTAATAACAATATCATCGGCATACGCAGCGAGTTGAGTGGTGTTGTAATTAATCAGGCCATTGATGTTCAATTTACGTGTAGCAGCCTCAAGTGCCAAATTGAAGACTATAGACGATAGCGCGTCTCCTTGTTTCACTCCCGAACGGATCTCAAAAGGCTCGGACAGGTCATTCTGTATGGCTACAACAGCTTTAGTGTGCTTTAACGTGGCTTCGACGAGCCTAACCAACTTACTGGGCACACCCAAATGTAGCATGCTGGAGAGTATGTGTGTACGGTTCACACTGTCAAATGCCTGCTTGAAATCCACAAACATATTGTTACGCGCTCCAGTTAACGATACACTAGCGCCATCTAGTGACAGGAACGAGAGCGAGGGGAGCTTTGCAGTGAATGACATCACAACCGACAGCGCCATCCGAAGAAACTAAGTTTCTAGAAAATCTATACTCGGACTCTCGGTACCTTACGCGTGTTTGCTTGAACATTCTGGATATTTGCTAATTTAAATAAGTAGGCGCTGCAAGGTGCGATCGAGGCAGTGTTGATTTGGGCGAAACAAGCGAAGTTTCGGGCGGAATTAAGTGAATTAGTGTGTGTAACTATTAGTGTTTTAACTTTAATTTGTGTAAAGTAAATTAAGGTGTTAATTTAGGTAATTTTATCGGCAATTTTTATTGTCACGAACCTCAAGCTCGTAACAATTGGTGTCAGAAGTGGGATAAAATCATGCCGATTTTACCTAAGGAGGAAACGGAGGGTGTCCGTACCCGAAGTCAACGCCAGCAGGAGACGGACCAACGAAGATGTGGTGGTGCAACGCCGCAGACGTCGGAGGACCAGCCACCGGCTGCAGGCCCGTCGGTAGCTCCTACATCTGCAGCACCTGACTTAGGTGCTCTGATGGTGATGCTGCAGGAGCAGGCTCACCGACAGGAGGAGCAGGCTCGCCGACAGGAGGAGCAGGCTCGCCGGCAGGAGAAACAGGCTCGCCGACAGGAGGATCAGGCTCGCCAGCAGGCGGAACAGGCACGCCGATTGGAAGAGCAGCTGCGGGGCGGACAGGAAGAACAGGCCCGTCGGTTGGAAGAGCAGATGCTCCTCATGAAGGACCTTCACGCTACCTTCGGTAAGAAGATAAAGGAGGTGAAGGATAGGGTTGCTAAGCATGACAACCGCCTGTCGGAAGCCGAAACCCAAATCTCGAAAGCTGAAAACCGAATCGAGAAAGCTGAAACCCGAATCGACCAAGTAAACAATCGGGTTGACAACGTAGTGGCTGACATGAAGAAATCATTAAACGACCTCAAACTTGGGGATGGAACTACAGCTCCCGTAGTAGCTGCAGCACCTTCGCTACGTGGATTCAAAGTGCCGCCGTTCGACGGGACCTCTTCCTGGTCGGCCTACAAAATCCAGTTCGAGGCCGTCATGGAGGCGAACGGCTGGAATAAAAGCCAAGCCATGACTGTACTCACCCTAGGCCTGCGTGACCAAGCCTTAACTGTGTTGGAAGCTCTCGGTAAGAAAGTGACCTATGAGCAGCTTCTTGAGGCCTTGGAAGCGAGATATGGCGACGCTCATCTGGAACACGTCTTTCGCGCACAGCTTAAAGATCGCGTGCAGCGCAGCAACGAGAACCTGCAGCAGTGGGCCCTTGAGGTGGAGAAGATGGTTCGAAAAGCATACCAGTCTGTACCTGCGCTCATTGAAGGGAACCTGGTTCAGACATTCATCGACGGCATCCGCGACCTTGAAGTCAGAGCTGCTGTGAGACTCGGGCACCACGACACGCTTAAGAACGCCTTGGCCCATGCACTGGAGGTGGAAGCCGTGCGGCAGGATCATCGTTCCCATCGCGTCAGGGAGGTTGCAGCAGCTACAGTCCGTGACCGCAGCAAAGGATACAGCCCTAGGTGCTATGGCTGTGGGGAAAAGGGCCATCTTCGATCCAGCTGCCCTAAACGAACCGTGGAAAGGAGAGTTGATCGATCTCGAGAGGGTAGTACAGCTAACGGCACTGCCTGGCGGCGACAGGATCATCGTTCACTTCACGCTAGGGAGGTTACAGCAGTTACGGTTCGCGACCACAATAAAAGATACAGCCCTAGGTGCTATGGCTGTGGGGAAAGGGGCCATCTTCGGTCCAGCTGCCCTAAGCACACCCTAGGAAGGGGAAGGTGAACGGTCTCAGAAAGGAAGTGCGGCTAACAGCACCGCCCAGCAGCAGCAGGAATACGACTTTACTATCAGACACTGCAGCGGGAAATCTCACGGCAACGCAGATGCATTGTCAAGAAGACCTTGTCCTGAAGATTGCAACCATTGTAGTAGGCAAGAGAGTAAGGAGATGGTATCCGTGAGGATGCTCAGGACGGACCACCTCAGCAACGAATGGAAGGACAACCTACGACATGCACAGCAGGAAGATCCGGACATCAAGCCGATTCTGGGATGGATGAAGGCCCGTGCTACCAAGCCTAAGTGGAGGGACATCTCAGCGATGAGTTCAACCACGAAAAGCTATTGGGCCCAATGGGACAGCTTGCTGATTCAGGATGGAGTCCTGTGCCGTAAATGGGACAATGGTCGAAGAGACAGCTGTCGTTTGCAAATGGTTGTCCCTAAAGCTAAAGTGCCGAATGTTCTACAGTTGTGCCATAATGGTCGTTCAAGAGTCCATCTGGGAGTTAAACGAACTCTACTGAAGGTCCGAGAACAGTTTTACTGGGTCCATTATCGTGACGATGTCGAGGATTGGTGTCGTACATGTACAAGTTGTGCGGCCGAGCGGGGACCTCGGACACGTAGTAAAGGAGCACCGAAATTGTACAATGTTGGTGCACCACGGGATAGGACAGCCCTTGACATTGCGGAGCCGTTACAGAAAGGCGCAAGAGGGACTCCTAAGATCGTCCATGTGAATCGCTTGGCGCGTTATTATGGGGCCGATTATGCTCGGGACGAGCATGTCTTAGGAGGGGGCAGTGTTACGCGCTCCAGTCAACGATACACTAGCGCCATCTAGTGACAGGAACGAGAGCGAGGGGGAGCTTTGCAGTGAATGACATCACAACCGACAGTGCCATCCGAAGAAACTAAGTTTCTAGAAAATCTATACTCGGACTCTCGGTACCTTACGCGTGTTTGCTTGAACATTCTGGATATTTGCTAATTTAAATAAGTAGGCGCTGCAAGGTGCGATCGAGGCAGTGTTGATTTGGGCGAAACAAGCGAAGTTTCGGGCGGAATTAAGTGAATTAGTGTGTGTAATTATTAGTGTTTTAACTTTAATTTGTGTAAAGTAAATTAAGGTGTTAATTTAGGTAATTTTATCGGCAATTTTTATTGTCACGAACCTCAAGCTCGTAACAATATGATGCAAGTTAATGTTGTATTCATACGCCTTTTCCAGTATTTGCCGCAGGAGGTGAATCTGGTCTACAGTAGAGCGATTAGGTCGGAATCCGCATTGGTACTCTCCCAATATCTCCTCAGCATAACCACAGAGCCTCCTATAAATAACTCCTGACAAAACTTTATAAGCCACTGAGAGCACTGTAATACCTTTGTAATTGCTACAGATACTCTTATTCCCTTTCTTGAATATCGGTTCAATAATACCTGAATTCTACTCCTCGGGTATTCTTTCTTCCTCCCATATAAGAGTAACGAGTCCGTGCATTCTCTCCACGATACCGCTTCCGCCTCTTTTGAGTAGCTCTGAGGTGATAGTATCAAGCCCTGGTGCCTTGTTGTTCTTCAGACTACGAACGGCTTGATGGACTTCCATTCTTGTGGGTGGTTCTAATCGCTCCTCAGCGTCGAAAAATATGGTCTCTTTATCTGTTGCATTGGATATGTTTAGGAGTTCGCTAAAATGTTCCCGCCATCTCCTAAGCACGTCTGCCTTTTCCGTGATTAGACTCCCTGACTTGTCTTGGCATGCGTTGGTTTTGGGTTGATATCCCTTACAAAGAATGTTTATTTCACTATAGAAGGGGCGTGTAAAATTACGTACTCTGAAGTCTTCCATTCTCTTGAATCGCTCTCTTTCTGCGTTCCTTTTTTTGCGTCTCGCTAATTTCCTACATTTGTTTCTCCCAGTTTTATAAAGTTCTTCATTTCTTACACAGTTGTTTCGTAGATATCTAAGCCGCATTTCATTCTTTTTAGTTAGTGCTTGCATATATTCTTCATCGAACCATTCCATATTTCTTGTACCCTTTGCCTTTCCAATAATATTTTTGGCTGACTCTGTCACCGCTGTTTTTATATTTTGCCACTCCTCATCAATGTTGTTAGACGGGACATATTTAGTAAGTTGCCTTCCTAATTCTTGTTCGTACAATTTTTCGTTAGTAGCATTTTTTAGTTTATCGGTGTCCCATTTTATGCGTTTCTCACCTTTAGCGTTCTGAATCTTACAAGTCTTTTCCTTTAAGGAAGCAACAACCAAAAAATGGTCAGAGTCACAGTTGGCACCTCTGTATACCCTAACGTCTTGAACGTTGGACAGCCTACGCTTGTTAAATAACACATGATCAATTTGATTGTATTGAGCCCTACCGGGAACCTTCCAGGTGCCTTTGTGTATATTTTTGTGTGGAAATTTCGTGCCACATATAAAAAGATTGTTTGCTAATGCCAAATTGCACAAAAGTTCTCCATTGTCACTGGTGTCTTCATGCAGAGAATGCTTACCAATCACGTCCGCATAAACATTCTCTTTCCCAACTTTTGCGTTGAAGTCACCTAGAACACAAAGAGCATCATATTTCGGTACTTTACTGCATAGCGTGTGAAGTTCCTCGTAAAACTTTTCTTTGTCTTCGTCTGATGCATCTTCCGTTGGTGAATATGCGCAGACATATGTAGTATTGTAGAGCTTTCCTTTAATCCGTATTTTGCATAGTCTGTCGTTTACTGGTTCAAAGCCCAGTACGCAAGTTCGAAGCTTCTTAGTAATGATGAAACCTGTGCCGCGGTGTCCCTGAATGTCGGCACAGCTGTAGTGAAGTGTATACTCGTCTTTGTCTATGGTGCCAGTTCCCTGCCATCTGATTTCTTGAAGTGCTATTAGATCGAGGTTGTATGTCTTCAGTTCGCGGCCGACTTCATCCATTTTTCCAGCTTGTAGCATAGTTTGCACATTCCATGTACCGATTCGTAGGCTAAATTGTTTTTCCATAAGTATTTGCCAAGGTCGTTGGGTTTTAAGCAATCTGGATTTTTCTGTGTTGGACTTCGGAACGTTTGGGTTTTTACCTTGTAGGGTTGTTGGCCCTACGAAGAACCCTCCTCCTTTACCCGGGCTTGGGACCGGCAGTGCGCGGGATACAACACAGGCGGAGTTAGTTTGAAGTCTAGAAACTTGAAAATTAAAGAAAATTTCACATTCCTAATATATTTAGTTTTATTTTAAAACCCCCAAGGAATCATCAGAAACTATAATCTACGTTTTGTTTCTAGTACAGTGTAAAATTGTATAAAATCTTCTAATTCTGTTGAAAAACTACCTTTATAACTTTTTCACCAACTCATGTCACTAGATGGCGCCATTTTAACAGCCATTCCAATGTGTGGAAACTGTCGAGAGCTGCACGTATTAAACCGTAAGGTTTTATAAAGTATTTGATACTTAGTAGTGAAGTAATTGTTTAAGACAGTTAAAAAGTATTGCTTTAACCCATTCAGTTATACAACACTAGAGGAGCAAACCACATTACCGCGCGTCGAAAAAAGTGTAACCACTATCCAAACGCGACGACGTAGCTTTAAAACTAATAACAATTTTAAATAAACATATATCTATCTCACTTACACAAGTTGCGAAAACAATATCGTCGCTAAGATTAGATAAAGATAGACACATAAACATGCAATGGCCGATTGGTGTGGCTTACTATATGAAATTTTACATATGCCCCATTTACATTCAGCCCTGTTGGGCAGGGAAGTGAGCAGGGCAGTGGGCAGGGCAGTATGTAAACAGGCTACTCGCGCTGACACTGCCGCTGCCGCTGCCACTGCCCGACGATCGCTCAAATGTCGGTTTTTCGCGCGGATGTCAAAGGACGGGCAGCGCGAGCGGCAGTGAGTGTTCACATTCAGCTCCATTCCATCGCTCACTTCGCGCCATAGGAGTAATAGTGTTCTGCTTCTGTGGCGCCAAGCGCCTGGATGAACGGACGTGCGTGTCGCCTTGTTATTAAATAATTACGATCTACCAAAATGTCTTTCGAGTGGAATAATGAAAATACAATAAAGTTTTTAGAACTGCTGGAATCAGAAAAAAGTATGTGGGATTTCAACGATAAAAACCACAATTCATCATCTTCTACGAATACGAATTTTCTTTTTTGAGATAACATAGTACCTATGTACATAATTAATTATAAATTCGTCAAATTTATTATATTAATATAAAATTTAGTTTAAGGAATTAGTGAACATTGACATTTTATTTCTAACAACGATTAATAACTCATATTGATTATTTATTCATTAAAATATGAAATAAGTTAAATGGTAATATTTGCATAATAGCATGAGATTTTTAAATTATAATTTTATTGTAGTTAAAATTATGTATTAATTAATACTGTAGTGTAATTATTAAAATAATAATAGCTTAACTAATCTCATATAATATCTAATATTATTTATGTAACAATAATGTAATAATTGAATTAATAATTTTTGAACAATTTACAGTATAAGAATTCAAATAGAGTGGATCTGTATAAGTATTTAATTGTACATAATACCTATTTGAATTCAAAAATAATGTTTGTACCTAACTTTTAAGCAATACAATAATTTTGAAATGTAACATTGGGTTTGTGTAATTAGGTGTATTTCATATCATTTTTGCATGCCAATTATGGCAAAACATGTAAGTTCCACGTCATTGATCATCTTATGTACCATGTTTTTAAGCAAATAAATTTTCTATCTATCTTCTTTCGAATTTGAAATCTTTTTAAATTATTAACATAATTTTGTATTGCAAGAAGACACAGCGCGGACGCTGTAATTATTTCGACGTCTGCCATAGTCGAAAGCCGAAAGCGATGTGATATATACAGTAATCTATGGATGTGAGTTTCATCAGTATATTAGAAAGTACTCTATGGATGTGAGCGGTAGGGCAGAGTGTGAATACACCAAGGAGGTTATAAATAAATATATTATATTTATAACCTCCTTGGAATACACACACTTCCCGCTTTCAGTATATTAGAAAGTACTCTATGCTTCCCGCGATCCTACTAGGGTACGGCAGTATTTAGCGAAGTATTGCCGGCAGCGCGAGGAGCAGTAGCAGGGGCTGAATGTAAATGAGGCATTAGATAATATACGCAATAAAAATGAGTAAGCTGCAGTTAATTGTTTTTATATTTAAAAAGTATATTTTATTTTAAAATCTTTATTGCGTCCCCTTAGAAAAAAAGGATACAAAGCTCATCACATGAACAGAAGTGAACATAATAATGAAATAAAACGTATTTTTATTATACTAATAAATCAAACAATATAAAATAGGTAATAAAATATAATTAATATAGAATTCATACGAAATTATAATTAATATAAAATTATTAATATAAAATAGGTAATAAAATATATGTAATAGATAATACATGAATAAACTAAAATATGAATAATTAATTATTTTGTATGAAAGTTAAAACATAGTTTTAATTATAATTTGAAAAATATTTAAAATCAGAGGTAACATATTAACTTACTCCATTAATTATATAGTCTCCCATTAATGTAGGATAAGTAACCACAAATGCGGAAAAGTGGCAACATGGAACTTAAATGGCAATATTCGATAATTTTATTTAATTATTCGAGGTTTTTACGTTTATGTCGCCTCTACACGTTGGCCAACACAGTGGCGAATGTAGTGGCCAATAGCATTGGCCAACGTGTAGACGGGGTGTTTGGGCTTCATTGGTATGTATTGGGACGATGGCCCACAAGTTGGCGCGAGATCCGTGTGGTGTCGGTTTTTTACAAAAGATCAAAGGATTGTTGGCAGAGTTTGGTGGCCGCGTCCACACGTTGGCCGCGCGTTTAGATTTGCTACAAGCTCCCAGAGTGATTACACGCATCGATTTAAATTTTATATTCAAGCTTTGTAGGGTGGATACCCCCATTACCAGCCTTTTAGTGCCAATTTCAACTTTAAACATTCCTACTACTTTAATTAGCGCGATTTAATTATTATTGAACATTTGTTTTAATCAATAAGCTACTTATCAAAAAAAATTAACGTTTTTTTACAATCAGATTATTACGAGAACAATTTTAAAATGAAAAAAAAATGAAGCACGTCGTTTATACGTGGTAGAACCATGCAATTATATTAGAAGTATAGTTGCAGCACGAAGGTCGGCTCGACCGGGGAAGGAGTGATTACACGCACCTGATTTAAATTTTATATTCACGCTTTGTAGGGTGGTGCCCCTATTAGCCTTTTAGTGCTAATTTCAACTACTACTTTAATTAGCGCGATTTAATTATTTTTAAATATTTGTTTATAAGCTATTTATCAAAACAAATAATGAACATTTATTTACAATCAGATTATTACGAGGACAATTTTAAAATGAAAAAAATGAAACACATCGTTTATATGTGGTAGAACCATGCAGTTATATTAGAAGTATAGTTGTAGCACGAATGGGTCGGCTCGACCGGGGAAGGACCACACTCTCACAGAATATCAGCGTAAAATAGTAGGTTAATGATTCTGTGTTTCGTATAGTGAGTGTAGAGAACCAGAGACCCTTTTTAAAGGAAACGAGGCATTTCATCTTAGTCCTCAAGGCTGACAACGCATCTGCATTTTGATTCGTAATCGAGGATAGATGTAGATGTCTGTGGGCCACCGTAACCACTTACCATCAGGTGAACTGTGTGCTCGTTTGTCACACTATCCTATAAAAAAAATGACGATTTCTTATAATTTAATCGTGCAAGATTTCGAATCATCATCATCATTACAGTTGTTCACAAGTCTACTACTGAACATCCTCCTCCACAGACAGCCGTAAAGCATGGTCCTGAGCCACTTTGCTCGTCATGAGTTTTTCATTTATGTTCTAAGTTATAATTAGTACCTATTATTAAGTCAATGTTAATTATATTTATTGCTATTGTTTTTGTCTTTCTCAAAAAATAATTAATTTACCAAATAAATTATATGGTGTTTTTTATATACATCAAATGTCTGATAGAAATGCAAGTAGGTACATATTTTGCTAAACTTTAAAATCAAAACCCAATTTTAAAACATAGGCTAATCGATTATAACTTCTTTAACTTTAAAATAAGTTAAGTTCTTATTAATGGTATTTATCCCAGTTTATGATGCATGTAAAAATAAATAAAGCTAATTGTATATCGTATATCTATTTACAGCCCCATTAATAACCACTATTATTTTATAATTCTTTTATAAAAACGTTAACCCCACACTAGGATTTTCTCTCGTATCGCGCAGGCAGTTTACAAACATAAATTGCACAAGGACACACATCCAGACCCGAAACAATTATTTGTAGGACATACAAATACTTGTTCCGTGCGGGATCAAACCCGCGGCGCTCGGCGCAGCCACTCATTGCTGAGCCACTGCGCCACGGTGCTTATAAATTCGTCCGCACATTGGCCCGAACCGAAGTAAACTGAACGACCTTCCAACGTGTGGACGCCGTCACCAACTCTCGGCCAATATATTCGCCACTCCATTCGCCACTGTGTTGGCCAACGTGTAGAGGCGACATTATATGAAAGCAAGAAATAAAAATAATATGTTGAAAGTGATTCCGCTTGATTTATTACATTTTTGTGACCTTGAATAGCATTCTTTCACTACGCAATTACCCATTTTTTGTCGCGGCTCAACTCTGTCGGCGTCACATTGAACACCATTGAAAACTGAACTGATTAGCCTAACATCATGTTAGCTAGGCATATGGCTGTGGCCATATGTGCAGTGGCAACCCTTTGGCGCGGTTATTACTGATCTAGTGTAATATATAAATCAATGCTTTTTACGCCTGCTGTCCCCATTTGGGCCACTTTTTTAAGTAGCCACATTTTTTTTTTGTAAGCGAATTAGTAGTGCCAAAGAGTATGGCTTTGCAATACAACTTATAGTTTTGTAAGTTT